AAAAAAATGTATAAAATAAAAATTCCCCTTATCATTTCCATGCTTTATTTAATCTCTCACTGGCCTGAAATGCCAAATATGCTCATGTACATATAAACACATGTACAAGCTTTGGTTTCTAAGAATCTGTAAACATAGCCAGGCACTGGTGGTTCACACCTGTAATCCTAGCTACTTAGGAGGCTGAGATCTGAGGATCATGGTTCAAACAAAGCCAACCTGGGGAAGGAAAGGCCATGAAACTCTTCTCTCCAATTAACCAATTAACCAGGACAGAGCCCAGGCCCTGTGTTCAAGTCCCACGATGAACAGAAAAAAAAAGCATCTGTAAACATGCAATCAAATCAAACTGTATTTCATGTTATACCAACCAAACAATGCTATCAGGTTGTGAATTATAATTAATTGTGAGCACCCAAGGTCTTTTTTAGTGTCTTTTCCTTTCACATGTTTTCATGCTATCTTTATTCTGTTCACTCACAAGAATACATTCTAGGGTATTAGAAATAAAAATACAGAGACTGAACAGTTGGATGCAACTGGTTCATGTCTATAATCCTAGCTACTTTGGAGGCTGAGATCTGAGAATTGCAGTTGAAAGCCAGCCCAGGCAGAAAAGTCTGTGAGACTTTTATTTCCAATTAACTACCAAAAAGATAAAGTGGAGCTGTGGCTCAGGGACAGTACTTCCCAGGCCCTGAATTCAAGTCCAAGGACCAATACCAAAAAAATTAAATAAATAAATAAAAAGAAAATTCAGTCCTTTCTCATTACTCACACAAATCTCAAGTCTCCTCTTTGCTCTGCACTAAGACAACATTCAGCTTGCCTTACTGGGAGGACAGACCCTGTCTGCTTCCCCCCCTGCTCTCCCCAGTGGCTAGGCTACCGCTTCAGGTTAATAGAGGATTTGCTAAACTCCCCGTGAGGATTCTGTCATCATCCCTACCCAATCAACAGGGCCACATGGAAAAGCCAAACCTTTCACCTGTCTGTCACCTTTGATTGTAATCTGCCAGTACTTTCTGAACAAGGAGGTAGAAATGCGGGCTGTTGTATTAATTAAACTGGTAAAGAAACAACAGGATTAGAAGCTGGGATCCACTTAGTTAATGGCTAGTTCAGTTTTCATGTCTAGGTTGTCCAAATAATACATTTGGATTCCTCATATTTTACATAAATGTTGACTACTTGTAAGAACTGCTGAATCTCTGCTCCACTTTTAACAATGACCAAAGCCAATCTTAAAAAGTATGCCCATTTGCCAGGCGCTGGTGGCTCATGCCTATAATCCTAGCTACTCAGGAGGCTGAGATCTGAGGATTGTGGTTCAAAGCCAGCTTGGGCAGGGCAGGAAAGTCCGTGAGACTCTTAGCTCCAATTAACAACAAGAAAACCTGAAGTGGCACTGTGGCTCAAGTGGTAGAGCGCTCACCTTGAGCTGAAGAGCGAGGGACAGCGCCCAGGCCCAGAGTTCAAGCCCCACAACTGACAAAACAAAACAAAAACAAAAAACTATGCACATCTTTGATACAATTTCCATTAAATAATTATCACTATTATATTTAAAGTAAACCTATTTTGAGCAGTTACAATATGGTAAGTACCAGTCTGGGCATTTTGCAAGTATTAACTCGGTGAATGCCACGCCCCATCTCACTGGGTCCACTTGAAGAATGAAAACTGGCACAGTTCAGTAATATGCTCGCAATTCTTTTTTTTTTTTTT